ACGCTGTCCTCTTTTGACGCGTACTGTTTTCACCGTGCTGTTTTGTCGCGTGCTCTTTTGTCGTGTGCTGTTCTGTCGCGTTCCCACGGATGCCGAGTAGTTTGTGAAATTTTCCTGAAATATTTAGTACACAGAAGTTACAGGAAATCTTTGTAATGGTTTGCATCTTTCTCTGCCAACGCGTATTTCAAAGTCCCATAGTGCATAGGTGTATCCCCCGCAGTCTCAACAGCTGCACGCCAAGGCTTTTTCAGCCTATTTCGTTTACTCAGTAAAACCTCTAAGAAGTTCTTCAGCGCCTACCTCACCCTCACTAGCTTCTCCTAATGGATGTTCTAGTCCTCCCTTCTCCTGGTGTCTGATTAGAATCATTGGAAGCCATCGAAGCTTGCTTAATGGCCAGTAAGAAGCAGTCATTGTACTCGACATGTTCCTTCACTACCCCTGTCATGTATCCACCTATTATAGAAATTGTCAACATCTCAGGGGTGGAAGGAATGTAGTGCATTCGTGTCAAGTGAGCTTCGAGGACAATGCCGTTGCTTTCTTGGCGAAATCATTTGCTTCGTCCTGTCCTGCGCTCTTGTTTGCAGATCAAGGGAGTGTTTGACAGCTCGACGAGTGCTCCACGTTGCTGTCCTTAGTGGCAGAGATTACCCCTGTCTTCGATACTCTCTCCAGGCCAGAAATGGCAGCCCTCGTGTCCACCTGGTCGTTGTTGCCAGCAGAGCTTCGAAGCCACCAGAAGAACGATTTTATGGGGTCAGAAGAGAATTTCCGCGTCAAGGCGAACCTATAGTTCTGTTCGGTCGGAAGGTAGCGGATGCAGTCCACATTGTAGGCAGTAGTCATCAGGGAGCCTTGGAAGGTTTCACACGTCAGGAAGGTTTATAAACAACTTCGTGACTCCATATCTTGCAGGTTCTTCAGGAATATTGTTTTGAGCCTGGTAAGCCAGATATCGTCTACATAATCCAATAGTTTGCTGTCGGGAAGGTTCTGGTGGATATGTTGTGTGCAGTTGCTCACATCCACTAAGAGGTACAACTTCTAAACATTCTTCATAAATTACACCATGGGACTAACGCTCCCATAAGACATGCTACGTATGCGGCCTGCTAGCGGTCGCATAAACTGCAATTCTGCAGTCACCGGCGGTGAGATGACTTGCACAGCCCTTTGCACATTCATCTTCTCAAGGTTGATAGGGAAGGCATGCTTTCTTCACAGAAAACGAACTAGCTTTACAACTTTATTGATTTGAAAAAAACAGACAAACAAACAGTGAGTGCGCAGGTGAGCAGGTGGATGTTGATCATCATGTAGAATACGCAAGACCATAGAAGAGACTTACGCTCTCACCTAGGTTAACTTGAAAACGTAGCTAACGCTAGCTACAACGTCGTCTCCATTTCTGTATGATGCTTTGGCGCCCCTAGTAGCAAATATGTGAAGTAGGCGCAACGACGACAAAGTAACACATTGGGTTGGCATTTCCAGTATAAAGAAGGCTATGTTCACGCTCACCTTTGAATGCTAGGACCCAATACTCTCCCTCGGAAAAACTTGCAAGCGTGGTTCATTCATCGGGAAGGCCAACACTTATATTGCGCTATGAAACCCTTGGGAGTTTTTTTTTATTCTTTGCATCCCTTCGCACAGCAGTAAGGTATTTTCGCTCATGCAATATCACGTTAAAGACCCCAGTCTAGCGGTCGTACTGCATTGGATCGCCCTTTGCCACCGCTTACGTCGTGGTGCAATAGTTAGTTACCGAGCCAATCGTGCTTTATATGGTGTAAAGGGACCATGTCAAAATGTCGAGATTTGACCGCAAATCACGAAGACATCAACGCAATACGAAGCACAGTTGTGCCGTCTTAAGCGTAAAAGAACCGGGATGTATGAATGGGCATAGCTACTTGCCTAGGAATTTTGCGGAACGCATTCAAACGCGACTGAGAAAATAGTCATGCCCACCCTTCACTCTGGAACATGTGCAAGGACTTTGCCTACATCCTGGCAGTAGATTTTAAATTTTTACGTCAAAGCGAATCAATAAAAGCAAACACGTCAGTGAATCAACTCAATTATGTGTACTTTTTTTTTCAACACAGCTACGTGAACATTTATTTTAGGCCATATCGGCCCAAACATGAACAAAAAAATATGCATGCCGTGTTGTAGATACAGTCGAGGGGGTATCGGTGGCTGAGTGGGCTAGCGCAAACCCTCTTAGAGCACGTGGAGCCAAAGCTCGCGCTGCGGATCCCAGGATCCTGGGTTCAATCCCCACTCCTCCCCGTTTCGATATAGATGAGCATCGTACTAGCGTGCCGTCATGTATCACCACTGGGTGGTGCGCATTAAAGACCCCATGCCTGCGGTTTGTACTGCACTGGATAAATTTCTTATTTATATCTTGGAGACAAGTCACCCGTTGAGGCAGACTAAGTTCTAGGCTGTATGAACATGCGTAAACCCCAATTTTCGTTTTCACTCAAGCATTCGACGCTTCATGTGCACGTCTTACTTAATCTGCAATAGCAGTAGGTACTCGCCGTGAGCGTGTGTTTCTTTACCAGCTACAAAAAACACTGAAGCAGCCGATGGAGCAGACGATGTCACAGACGATGTAGCAGTCAAGAATGCTCATCCGGCTTCATAAGGGGCACGGAGGGCATGTACTTGTTACGTCGTTTAGAGGAAGAAACGCGCAGGCGTTGTCTCCTACGTGGTATTGATAGAACACAGAGAAAGTGAAAGGACAGGTAGAATAAAAAATGATCAATTCCTAACTAATTCACTTTTAAAGAGGAGAAAAAGAAGCCTCAGAAATTAACCCCAACGTGAAAGGAAAGAAGAAAATGAAAATTAAGAAGAACAAAAATATAACCTAGGCATGCTTGATTTGAGCTAGACAAGAAAGGGAAGAAAAAGCAGTAGAAGAGATAATAAAAACAAAGAAAATACCTATATATGCACTTTGTTGACTCCAAGCCGGACAAAATGACTCGCCGTTTGCGTTCGCTAAGAAGATCACTTCCTTTGCACTCGGCTTCAGAGAGGGATGGCTCATGCATTGCTGTCCCATTTTATTTATTTTAGAGGCCTCAAGTTATATCGAATAGTCCCATTTTGACATTTCCCGAGTCTAGTTGTGTCACAAAAGGTAGGTGTGCAGTGGCAGGATAGATAGTGAGTATAGGCAGGTGTTCTACGGTGGAGTGAATAAAAAAAAATGTTCCGAAAGCTGGTTCTTGATGCATCTTTCAGCCTGTTATATATAGCAACCACCGCAAGCTAGGGAGATGTTATAAACTACCCTTTCCATGCAGAAAACAAACTTGTTATTCTGTTTAATGGGGCGTGCGGATCCTGAACATTTCGCGAATACGGAGCAAAACTTTGCACATATTTTACCTAACTTTTGGGGAGCACATATCTCTATTGGGCATCATACGATGTTGGCTGCTCGTTTGAAATTGTGGGACAGCGTAAGCAGTTACGGGACTATCACTGGGCGCTTTTTTGTAAGTTTTTTTTTTATGATGCTATACGCTTTAACTTTCTTCAACAAGGACCCCATAACCTGTAAGAGCTGCCTGGTGTAAAGCAGATACATCAAAGTGTTCAAACCGAGATTTACAACATTTCTTAACACCACGATTACAGGACTATGCCGGGAATGAGCCAAGAATGAAGGTGGGAGTGCCCCTTTTGACAAGCTGGGAATAAGAGGATGCTTCAGACAGTAAGCCTTTCTTGGGCCGGAGAGAAAATGGCTGGTATAGGTGATTAGCTTGAGTTAATCACGAGAGATAAAAAATTGCTGGGTCTCATAAGCAGAGGGCGCAACCCTCGTGTGTGAGATGACCGCAGGTAAACCTGAGCCGCCACAGGGCGGTTTGGAATGTTTTTTTTTTTTTTTTTTTTTAAATAAATTGCTGTCTGGTTCTGGGCACGAAGGTTTCTACATTGTGTCAAAAACTAAGCTCGCATTCTCTGTTTCCACTAGCACTGCGGTCACTACAGCGTAGCTCTTAAGCCACCTGCTGCCTTCCCGCATAGCCTACAGCCTCAACTGCGCCGTCTGCCTTCATGCTCCTCGCCGTTATGTCTAACGAAGTAGGTTTCGCCCTCACAGGAACCGTTTTCGTCCAAACTACATTGTGCGCTCGTCCGTCGCCCGTCTTTCGAACGCCGTGTTCCTGCTCGCCGCCGCCCTGCTCGCTGTCATGCCTAACGAGGAAGGAGACGGCGCCAAGCCTTCATGGCCGGACCTTTCACTGCATCAAGCAGTCCGCTTCGACTTCGAGAACACTGGTTACTGGCCGACGTGGCTGAGCCTCATCAAAGAATGCGCTTTTTCTTTCGGTCCTCGACAGGCGTCGGGAGAAAATCAGGTCCACACAATTCTCTATTGCATGGGCCGGAAGCTCGTCCTCTTCTTGCGACGTTCGGCCTGGGCGACGCTCGTAATGACTACAGGGTGGTCGTTGAGAAGTTTACGGCCCATTTCGTCCAACTTCTCAACGAGGTGCCGGAGTCGGCGCAGCCTCACGGGCGCGACCAGCATCCGGGCGAGACGGTGAAGAGCTACTAAGCGGAACTCTGCAAGCTCTGCGAAAAATGCCACTACATGTCACCCGAGATTGTGGGCCCCTCTTCGACGACCGCGTCATTGTAGGCTTACGTGAAGCTCGCTTTGCCGACCAGGTCTGCCCCACCCCGAAGTTGACCCTCAAAGCTCGCAGGCTCGCAGGCTCGCAGCTCGCAGGCCACGACACACAGTCTCGACCGGCGAGCCTCGATGCTGCCAAGTCTCGGAAGCTACAAGCAGGACGCGTCAATCACTGCTCAGATTCGCGACAAGCGCAGCCCAACCTCTAGCTCGTGCAAATACTGCAGCCGCGCTGCGCACCTCGTTGTGTAACCACTGCAAGAAAGAAGGTCATTTTGCAGTCGTCGGCTGTTCCCGGAAGAAATTATCGATCCAGGTGGCAGAGTTGGGACTCTACACAGTTCGCAACTCGGACCAAGGGAAGTTCGGGAAAGTCACTGTCAACGACTTCGCGGAAGTGTTCAAGGTTGACTTGAGAGGCGAAGTTTCAGCTGCCTCGACCACTTTCCCAAACTTGCAGCCGTCTCTCAATAAAGTGGACAAGATTCTCTTCGGGCCAGGGCAGCAGACACCCAATGTTCTCGGGTCCTTCGGGGTCACTTGGCTGTGGAGAGGCAAGTCTAATCAGCAAATACAGTAGGTAGTAAAATGCCTTTCGTTCCTTTTTTTGTAAGCCTTCTATCCATTCAGGCACTTAAAGTTGTCAAGTTCGAGGAAGTTCCATCCGTTAAAGTTGTCAAGTTCGCCAACAGAGTCTCATCGGAAGAAAACGACCTCCCTGACGTCAAAGTCTATTCCCAGACTCATGACAGAGTGTTCAATAGCCTCGGATCTCTCACTCAAGAATATAAGACCCGCCTCCAGCCAGACGTTGTTCCATTTTTTCTTAGCGTGGCAAGGCGCCTCCCCATCCCGTTGCGAGAAGTCGCCCGCAATGAACTGCAGAAAATAGAACAAGAAGGTGTCATCCGCCGATTTGGCTCGCCAACGCCATCGTGCGCCGGTCTGGTGTTCGTCCCCAAAGCCACTGGGGGCCGAAGGCTGTCAGTGGACCTTACGAAGTTCGACCGGGTGGTCCTGCGTAAACTCCACGTCGTTCACACGGCCGACCAGGACCTTGGTCTGCTGGGAGATGCAGCGGTGTTTTTCAAGTTGGACACTAAATCAGGCTTCTACAGGGAGGAACAATCGGAAGAGCTTACCACGTTTATCACACCTTTCGGACTCTACTCCTTCCGTCGGATGCCCTTCGTAAGGTCCACTGACACCTCGGCGCTGGAATTTTTCCAGAAGCAGATGTCCAGGATTTCGGAAGGCCTGGAAGGCACTGTGTGCCTGATAGACGACATACTCGTCTTCGGACGCACTCTCAAAGAGCACGACTCCCGCCTGCAGCAAGTCCTGATGCGACGATCCCGGGCAGGCATCACCTTGAGCGAGACGAAGTGCTGCCACCGCCAGAACGAAGTTTCCTTCTCGGGTGTGCATCTTGCTGACCTAAGCAAGCTCCAAGCGATCAAGGATATGAGCGCGCCTTCTTGTCATGGCGAACCACCTCTGGCGCTTCCTTCTGCGTGCGTCGGACGTTGCAGCTCTCATCAGAGAGTGTCTCGGCAAGGATGCTGCGTGGAACTGGTTTCCCGAACAAAAAACAGCGTTTACCCAGCTGAAGCTGATGCTCGTCTCTGACCGCTCTATAGAGAAGTATCATCTGGAATACCCAACAGTCGTCTCAGCGGATGAAAGTTCGTTCGGGTGAGGGGGGTCCTCCTCCTAACTCAGCCTACCGGCGGAAGAAGACCGGTTCTTTCAGGTCGCGGTTCCTTACACCGACTGAGCTACTATATAGCCAAACGTTGAATGAAGCTTTGGCAGGTGTATTGCAATTCAGCGGTTCGTCGTGTTCCTCCGTGGGTTGTTCTTCGACGTTGAGACAGATCACCTGCCAGTGGTTTCACTGTTTGGTTTGGACTTGGACGTGGTACCTTCACGTATCCAGCGCCTTTGACTGAAGGTGATTCGGTACCAGTTCATGATGTCCTACGTCCCTGGGAAGCTTCTTGCAACAACAGACTCCTTGTATCGCGTCCCACGGAACCTTCCGATCTGTCTCGTCCTCTAGACACGATCGAAGTGTTTGCTGCGAAAGTTCTCCAGAGGTCATCAGAAGCCGCGTCCCTACAGCTGGAGGACCTTCGAACTGCTCAAGCAAACGAAGGGGATTGTCGCGCGCTAATCTCGGTGTGTCGCAACGGGTTACCTCCGCAGTCGAGGTTACCGCTTCACCTGGCGAAGTATGCAAGCATGTTGGTCAAACTTTCAGTTTGTGATGGTTTACTGCTGAAAGGCTCTCGCATCGTGACACAAACAGCACAGCGTGCGACAGCTCTGGCTTTGTTTTATGAAGGTCACCAACGCTTTAACCGATGCAAAGTTCGGGCCCGGGAATCGGTATGGTGGCCACCAAGTATCAAGGCTGACGTAGCAGCACTTCTGGCACTATGTTTACAGAGCACGTCGTTCCAAGACAATCCAGCGCACCAACTTCGGAGCACGCATCTTCAAAGTCTTTCGGCAAACTTTCTGGTCGCTGACTTGTTCCACCTGAACCGACAGACTTGCGTTCTCGTGGTTGACTATTATTTCAGTTACCTGGAAGTGGTCTCCCTCAACTCTGAAACGGATGGGCATGTGATCGAAATACTTAAGAGCATTTTCGCTCGTCACGGCATCCCATTTACTCCACGTTCAGACTACAGACCACCCTTCAGTCTCACGAGTTTGCTCGGTTCATGGAATCTGAGGGAATCGCACACCAGAGAAGCAGCCCCCCATCCTACATTTCAATCGGAAGGTAGATTGCAAGGTGCGCATAGTGAAGAACTTGCTACGCAAAGCGCATACTCTGAGGCTGGCTTTGCTTTACTTTTGGGACACCCCCGAACCCTCAGGTTTCAATCCGACACAATTGTTGATAGGGCGTCGACTCCGCACTCGACTTCCCAAGGAGGGGAGCTTGCTGGTGCCAAGTAGCAAACCGCAGGAGGAGGTGGCCACCAGGAAGGCGAAGCTCAAGCGTCGGCAAGCTACTGACTTTGATAGCAGCCATCAGGTTAGAAACCTTTTGCACTCGAAGACGGTACCCGCGTCTGGTTCCGTCCAGAACGTGTACAGGCTACTGTCCTCAGTGCAGCGCGAGGTCCCAGGTCGTACATGGTGGCAACTGATGAGGGATCGATCTGGCAGCGCAACCGGAGAAACTTGGTGACAATTAGGAAAGGCCATGAAGACGTAACCGCAAGAGAAGAGGCGCAAGAGAAGAGGACCAACTAGCCCAACTCTCGACATTAACCCAATGACTGGCTTCTTCTGAAGAGACGACGGCACCTGCAGCGCAGAAATGGGCTTCACCTCAACAACCACCTGAACCTGCATCTCATGGATGGGCTCAACCTCAACAGCCATCTTCGCTGCAAGTCATAACATCCGGCGCAACGAACCCGACTCTGGTGCCACTCCTGTACAAATAACCAGGTGTCGCAGAGGGGTGGTGTGTTCCTGGAGGTTGAACCTTTAGTGCGGTGCATTGTGCTTTTTGGGTGCAGCACATTCTCGGGGGGGGGGGGGGGGGGGGAGGTTGGGGGTAGTTGTAGAGGTCGCAACCCTCGTGTGTGAGATGGCCGCAGGGAATCCTGTGCCGCCGCTAGGTAGCTGGGTATGTTATTTTTTGGAAATAAATATTTATCTGGTTCTGGGAACGAAGATCTCTACAGCATACTAGAGCAGGGGCGGCGAGTAATGTTATAACCCAAATTTTGGAAAACATTGATAGGTGCGGGTCAGGTTTAAAGTTACGTTCGAGCAAAGCAAGGACGGGACCTTGCAATTTATGGATCTCCCTTTGTCAGCCCAAGCCATTCACCTATGCTGGTTCCTTCCGCCCAGGTCAGAGAAAGGCACACTGACTTACACACTCTCATTCTTAGTTTGTCAAAAGGGAAATGGCCTTATCTATTCTAGGTTAAATGGTATAGCAGCACCTGAAAACACATAAAAACACCCGGTACTGGTCCTGTACCTGCATAAAGTGTCCCACAATTTGAAAGTAGTAGCCAACGTGAATGAATATAATGCAATTAAATGCAAATGAAATGATATTCAAATAGTGTTCTTTGCGCTTCATCAAAGATTATCTAAGATATGTGCAAAGGTTGACTTAGTATTTGGTAATCGTTTCCGAAACACATGGCACAAAAAGTACAAGAAAGTGTTTGTTTCCTGCACAGAAGAGGCAGTTTATAGCATCCCCCAAGCGTGCGGCGGTTGCGATATAGGACAGACTGAAAGATGCAACAACTGCCGACTATGAGAACACTTTAATTGTCTTCATACCACAGTATGAAGGCACCTGCCCGCACACTGTCCCTCCAGGCAGTGCTCACCGACCTTTTGTGACGCAACTATACTCGGAAAATATCAAGATCGGACTACTTAAGAGACCTTTGAGGCATTAAAAAAAGAGAACAGCCATGTGTGAGCCATGCCTGTCGGACATTGAGTGCGAGGGTTGTGGCTTACTTAGTAAACGCCGACGGCGAGTTATTTTGGCCGGCCTGGAGTCAACAAAGTACGTCATTAGCTATTTGTCTTATTATTTCTACCTAATGTTTTTTTTTTGCCTTTCTCTTCTCGCTCAAGTTCACCATACCTAGAATATATTATCTCTTTTTTTTCCGTTACTTTCACGTGGGTTAATTTCTGAATCTTCTTTTTTCTAATTTAAAAAACGAGTTCATGACCAGCGCTCTGTTGTTCCATTTGTTCTTTATCTTCTCCCGTTTTTGTTTTGTGTGCTGCTTTACTATGGTGGCTGGAAGGGAATGTGAGCTGGGCGGGAGCGAAGGGCTGCATAGAGTTCCGATGAAAATGACCCGCCTGCAGACTGCAGCGCCCTTGCAGTAACGAAAATGTTCATCGCAAAATCAGCGCTGCGGGTAACACGTGTGTTGAAAGAATTCACATAGCTTCTCTATAATATTGACTCATGTTTTTGTAACTATATAAATTGCACACGATCAACCCGTTAAATGGGTCGTGAGCCTAAATCCAGCGATGAAAATTCTGCAAAAAATTGTTGGGACAATAGGGGCGCTGCAGCCAGCAGGCGAGTTAAGCGGGAATGAAACTTGTGAGAGAGCCTTAATTACTAAATTTCCAACTTATCGAAGGGGGTCACGTGGTGGATGGGCCGTGTTTGTTGTACGAGCTGCAAGGAGGTGACGAACGCGTTGGTCGTCTTCCGGTGTCTCAACATCTCCACCTTTCCTTGTCGCCACTCGAAAAGCAACGTCATGCTCACCTGCGACCATTCTTTCCCGGTGGCGTCCGCCATTAAATTGCAAAATCTCCCTATATTTGTATAGGGACCCTCTCTGCAACCTAAGGTCTCCAAATATTTTCATTGCGTGCCGGGCCCCTCTTTGTCATTGTGCGCACTCGGCGCCCGTCACTCTTTCCCTTCCACCCACCATAGTTTTACCATGAAGATAAGCGTTTTTCTTTCCTGAAACATTTTGCGAAATTTTTGTTTTCTTTTTTGCTTTCCAAACAATTACAAAGATTGCTGCCGGCGTCTA